TCTGCACCCAAATGAAATTTACGTCCTTTTTTCCCACAAATTGAGCTTTCTTTCGGTGGTATTTGATCGCCTGTTCAGTTTTAAATTTTTTTGCGCTATAAGCAAAAAATACCAACAATTTTAAGAAAAAAAAAAAACTATATTTTGGACTTTTTGCTATTCAAACATGTCCAGTAAAAAATGTTTTAAAAATCTAATTTGGCATAAATTTAGGCCAAAATGTATTCTGCGACGGGTCTTTGCTAAAAAAAAAAAAAATCCCAATACGTGTAAATTAATTGGTTTACGTGAAAGTTATAGCATTTACAAATGGCGGTATAGATAATGGGATTTTTTTTTTTTATACTAGTAATGGCGGCAATCAGCGACTTTTAGTGGGACTGTGGCGGATATTCTGACACTGGGGGGGAACTAACTTGGTATCACTGACAAAAAAAAACACTGACACTGTACTAATGGTACCGGTTAGGAATGGGTTAATGTGAGGGGCGATCAAAGGTTTAACCGTGTGCTGGGAGTGTTTTACTAGGGGGGGGTATGTTCTTCACTGTAAGCACACTGATCGGGATGGCTGTACTGTGCACAGCCATCCTGAGCAGTGTGCTCAAGCTGACAATCTTCCTCCCCATCGGAGATTCTTGGTAATCATCGAAAGCCAGTGTGTAATAACTGTCCGGGACCCAGTGATTGACATTCGCGGCCGCGAATAGCAGCGCGGGTTCCCCCTACCCAGAAATGCAAAATCACATATACACGTGATTCGGTGCACAGGTGCCACCCTGTAGCAGTGTATCTGCTATAGGGCGGTCCTTAAGTGGTTAAACGGGTACCTTTTAGCTTGGCTCTAAACACTAGGGTTTATAATGCAATGGAATGATTCCTGAAAAGCAGTATTTTTAGGAAAGTGTTTATTTTTCTTTCTATCATTACAGACCGTTTAGAAAGCGTCGTGATACTTTTGGAGTGGCAAATGGTACCTCACTTGATCAAGTGACACCAACAACCCCTCTCGCTAATGTCAGCACAACTGGATTTCCTGTTGCCCCAGAGCCAAAGAAGTTCTCTCAGAGGGTCTGGTTCAAGGAGTCATTTGTCATCTCCGAGCTGAAGCATTTCACAGCCTATCGAATTGAGATCCATGCTTGCAACCAAGACGTTTCAGTGGGCTGTAGTGTTGCTGCCTACGTCACTGCCAGAACTATGCCAGAAGGTGAGCTATGCGCAAATTACACATTTATGCATGTATTAATTATTCAGAGGAGATTGATTTTATAAATGAAAGTTGAACTTTGAGATAGATAATGGGGGTGGATTTACTAAAACTGAAGAGTGCAAAATCTGATGCAGCTCTGGAAACCAATCAGTTTCCAGGTTTTAATATCAAAGCTTAATTGAGCAAGGTGAAGTTAGAAGCTGATTGGCTACCATGCACAGCTGCACCAGATTCTGAGTGCTCCAGTTTTAGTAAATCTCCCCCCAATTGTCTTCATGCAAGAGGCATGTGTATACTTACTCGAATCTTGTTGTGCTTTGGGCTAAACAAAAATGCCAAGCACTCTAATCAATTTATGCTAATTTTTAAAAGTATGGTGCACATGGACGGGCTTTGTACAGAACAAACACAATACAAAAAATTACCAGTACACGTACAGGCAAGCAAGCAAAAGACTAGTTATACTGTTTAACAACTTGTGTTAAAAAAAGGTTTTAGTTGTACAACATTTGCAAATATACGGAAGCCACACTCCCTCAGTAAGGCCTACCTCTGTGCAGTGTTATCCCTAACTCTTGTCTGTGAAAGCCTCCATAATAGAACACATATATATATACAGTGTATATTATCTATCTATCTATCTATCTATCTATCTATCTATCTATCTATCTCTATCTAACGCAAGAGATGAATTGAGGGTAGGTATGCCTAGAGGCAGCCCCTTATTATTATTTTTATAATATTATTATACAAGATTATATGCAGCCTTAAAGGTGCATAGGCCCACCGGAAGCACAGCACAATGGCAGCTGGCCCAAGCTAACTATTTCCATTACATAATAATGCAGCTGCTGTGTGTGCTGTAATATACTGTTATAACATTAGCTACATACACTATGCAGAGCTATATGCAGAGCAGTTTTCTGACTGTGTGCTGTGTCATGAGGCTTAATGGGTGGGAGTCCTCGTCCTTTTTTTTAATGTATGTGGAAACTCAAAAAGAATGCTAAAAAAGTAGCACTACAAAAGCTCAGTGGTACCCAATTCTTAAAGAGGAAATCCTGGCCCACTTTGAGTACCCATGTCCATGAGGGCACAACACGTCTGCGCCTGAGTGTTTTTAATGTGGAGGTGTGACAGGTATGGTCAGATCTTTCTGCCATCATACAACAAATTACTTGGCAAGCTGACCCCTAAGATGCTGGTCAACTGGTGGCCCTTGTAGAGCACTTTCTGACGACTGAGGTTTTCTTCAGGATGCTGTTCCCAAATGTCCAGCCTCCAGGATCCAAAACACCACAGTCCAGGGTGAGACCACTTCTGCTGCCAAAAATGGGAAACCGGTTTCTAAAGACAGAGCAGACGCCAGGCACAGCCCGTGATGATGCTTGTGTACAAATTAGATGTGGACCTAAGAGGGGGACACTGTGGCAGCCAATGCCAAGAACCTGGACACCTAGCTGAGGGTTGTCCAGTGTCCCATGAGAACATGAAATGTGGACTAGCCAGATGTTTGTTCCTGCTCTAGTGAGAGGTTGAGATGCGCAGTATGCCAGAATGTGGCATACCAGATGCAGGTTTATGCCATTAAAGTGAACTGCTGTGAGGTGATGGTCTTGCTAGAATCTTCTAGTTTGGTAACCTTGGTGCATACTATTCTGGTGGACCCCCAAAAACTACAAACCCAGTTGATGAGTCATCTGTATCTATAAGGCAGCCAAAAGCTATCCTTCTGCTGCATTGTCCCTTTGGACCACTTGCAGGAACCCAGGACCATGAAGTGGGAGGTAATCAAGAATTATTATTGTACATCCATATATTGGTGCATGATTCCTCTTTCTTTACAACTTGTGGGGAAGTGTTAAACATGTGCGGAGACAAACCCAGTGTCCAGCCCCCATACTCCTGAACCCCTGCAAGCTGGATTCCCAATGGATGTGGTAGCAGTATCCTTTAGGGAGGTAAATTGTCTTCTCCTGGAGGTGTTGGGGGAAGCAGAGGAAGCCAATCCAAAGATGGACTTGCCTGAACTACCTTTATCTCGAGATAACAGGATAACTCAGGTAACCCAACCATAAGTTGTTCCAGGGAGCAGATAAGCCATTACTGGGGTACCCCAAGAGCTTAGAGCAGGCGCCACACTTCTCAATGCAGAATGATGTTTTGTATCAATTGATACAAAATAATGTTGAACAACTTCCTTGTACCACAGCCCCACAGACACACTGTGCTGGATCTCGCTCATTCACATGTTTTGGCAGGAAATTTTAGGATATGATAACACCAAGTATTGGATATTGCATTTCATCCAGCAGTGATCTCGGCAGAATGGTGGGTTTGACATTCAGATGTGGCAAAAACAGCTGCAGGAATAATCAAGAATGTTGTAATTCACACTAGGGCTAGTCACCTGTGCAAATGAAGCCTTACAGATCACACAAAAAGATCTCCAGCTACAATGATCAGGTGGGCCCAAGATGCAAAGAGCCTTTCAAGATCTAAAATCAGACCTATGTAAATGCCCAGTACTGATTACTCTGAACTTTGATCAGGAATTTGTGATGCAATCTGATTCACAGATACACCTTCTAATTTCTGCTACTAGCAGCCTGTAAAACTCTAAAAAATGAGGTGACTGGATGAGGCTGGAGCCATATGTTTAGGGCCATGTGCAGGGACAAATGCCCGCTACACAGACTATTCAGTGTGCATTGGGCTTTAAGGTGGCAGTTAAGTTTCATCAGACCATGCCTCTCTGAAGTGAATGGCCCACAATAAAGAGTGATCTGCAAGAGTCACCTGGTGGTTCCTGGCATCACAAAATTTCAAGTATGCGGTGGGGCATTGAACTAGTAGTCAGCTGATTGATGCTGAGGTTCTCTCTAGGGTTCAGTCTGTTCACAGTACTCAACCCGTGCAAGTTTGAACGGGTACAGAGATGGGTGTATATGTAGCACAGTGCCTGTGAAAATCAACTATTCTTGATGTGAGGTATATGGCTCCAATTTTTTTTATTTTTTTTTTTTTAAGCCAACAAGTCCCTTTGGCAAAGAAACCCATGTATTTGCCTCTAATTTTACAAAATGTGCACTAGAATTGGTTTCACTGGGAATACTTACAAGCAGGCTGAGGTTTATTTCCAAGCCCATGGACCATGTTTGCTTTTTTTTTTTGCTGATTAGTCAGGGTCTATGTTTAAGTACAGATAGTCATGCTGAACTGTAAAGCTGATTATCAAGACTGTCAAGGTGATAAGAACCTGCCTATGAACGGCTGCTGTTCCCATAGGGGATGTTACCTGAAACAAGTGACTTTGCTCATGACATGGACTAAGTAAAGGTCATTGAGCAGAAGTTTTTTTTACTTAAGCAGCTGGATGCCTGGAAATATTTTTGTTACATTCTGCTGGAGTTAAAAGCTTTTTTTGTTTAATAACTGAGACGTATGTTGAACCTGATGCCCACCAATATATATTCTATCTTGAGGGGATTGTACTAAATAATAGTAAAGGTTTTTTGTTTTGCTCTAATAAGTACTGTCTCTTCACAGCAAAGGCAGATAATATTGAGGAGCCGGTTTCTTATGAATATAATGAACCCAACATTTACGTCATGTGGAAAGAGCCAAAAAATCCTAATGGACTGACCATTTTGTATGATGTACAATACTCCCGTCTTGGAGACACTCAAGTAAGTTTTCTATAGTTTACAGTACTTTGTCGTACATGCTTTCCCATCTGTCTCTAATAATTAAAATGTAATGTTCTGTTACCTATGTCCTGTAGGAGGACAATGAATGTGTGTCACAGAAACAGTACCTTCTGGAAAAGAGAGCGAAGCTGCGCTCGCTTATGCCTGGAAACTATAGTGTGAGAGTCCGAGCAACGTCACTAGCTGGCAATGGATCGTGGACACAAACCACATATTTTTATGTGCCAGACCCAAGTAAGTATCCAAATACCTCAGAAATACAAGGTTTAGCAAATAATGTGATGTTTAAATAGCTGATTCTGACACCATAAACTTTGAGAAATAAGACTGTATATTTTATAGGATATTTATTGCTCACTGTGAGGTTAATAACAGTATTCCAACTTTAATAATACTGTATACTTTGTAGGTAATACTACATATCCCAAGAAATCTAAAATCTGAGTCACTGAAACATAACATTTTTTATATATGTTAGTGAGCCCACATTTCATCTGCTTTTTTACCTATGGGGCATCACTGGTGAGACTTGTACAATGGAGCTGATTGCTTTATTGCCCACTGTAATTCTAATTCATTATTATGTAGAATTTGCTTTTACATTACATTGGTTTACCAAAATGTTTTAAATGTTAAGTCAAGGTCTGGATCCCCTCCTTTCCTCCTCATATTCTCCAGCTTTTTATTTCCTCTTTCTACTTTTTCCTTCTGTTTGTAAGGTAAACACATTCTTAAAGTGAGCCCTTTATTAGCATATTTTATCAGTAGGTTTATATGGTGGTTATGTCTGGTTCAGGTCTCTTGCGCATTTACTGTAAGATATGTGTTATACATATTGGACTTCTCCTATATGAACCTTATTTCTGCTTTTGTATTTTTATTCTGCACGCAAGTATTTACATATTCTGAACAAGCAGTAAAAGTACTTTTACATTTATGTATGCAGCTACAGTCTTTGTGGAGAAATTAATTTCAAAGTTGACAACAAAGGCACAGAAACCTTAATCTTTTTCTTTAGCAAATTGTGGCAGCTTTCCAACCCTGTATAAACAACCAGCAACAACCTGTTAAAACTAACTGAAACCTAACTTTAGAATCTTTTTGTTGTGAATATTTTAGATCTGTTACCTAACTTTGAAAATGAATTACTTCATATTACAAGCAGCTAGAGTAGTTAGAGTTGTTCTCCCCCACAGCTGTTGTCATCTTTCCCGTTTGCCATGACTGCAGACTGTTCTGCAGTTCTCAATAGAGTTCAAATGTACAGATCAGCACACTTGTAATCCAGTCACTATTCCTCCAGTTTTCCAACTGAAGGAGGGAGAATGTGCTGGGGCCTGACATTGCTATAGCCTTGCACAGGTTGTTAATTTTCCTCTATACTTAAAATGTTGGCTTCAATATTTTCCATATATTTTTTCAGGACACCCCACAAATAGCATACTGAAGATTCTTGTTGGCCCAGTCATCATAATTATTATTTTCCTCATCATCCTGACAGTCTGCGTGATCCAGAAAAAGAAGTAAGTGAGAATTTTTTTTTTTCAAAATATATTTTTGCTGCATACAGGAACAATCACTTATTATATTAGATATATTTGTCTTGGTGACAAATAACAGAACAGTGATCCTGTGGTCTGACAAACCCCAAACTGTGTGGATTGAAGGGGGGAGTCATACTGAACACATTGCCACTCCCATTTTTCCAAAATGCGCAAGTTGGTAACAGGGATGTCAGATTTAGATATCAAATCTATGATGGGCAACCAGAGAAGGTGAAAATACTGCAAGCTTAAAGTGGAACTTGACTCTCTAAATCAACATTGACTATTTTTAATTCTTATGCTGCTATTGTTGGTAATTAGATAGGAAAGTATATCATATTTACTTGTTTTAAACCTTGTGTTTACATTTCTTAAGTTACTTCCTGGTTTCCATGCCTAGGCAAATTATGTCATACATCCCAGAAGTCATCAGGAGGGGAGGAGGGGCTTTCTCAGCCAAGCACACCCTCCTACATGCATGTCTGAGCTAAGAGCAGTTGGCTTCCAGGAAGTAAATGCTACATGACTCATTTTCCCTTACTCAAGATGACCATGGCCAGAAATGCTAGAAAGGTGTTTTTCAAAGTGATTTTTCAGTAAAATAAAACATGGAGACATGGGTGGATGGATTATTTTGCTTTGAATATTAAAAATGAATCAAATAGAGTTTTTGGTTTGTGGTGATCAGATACAGTGTAGCTCCTCTTTAAGATACAATTTGACAAAAAGCACAGAAAGTTAGATGGAATGCAGAGGGTCAAAAAAAATCTCCTTTTGAAGAGCCTGCAAAAGATTCTTAATGGGCCTGGTCATAAATGACTGTTGTAAACCCATCTTAAAACAGTCTAGAAACAATACACACCTGTAAATCTAATTTTATTTGAACTAAATATGAACATTAATACATCTCAAGTTCTCAATCCATTCATGTTCCAGTACTCTGATAGTAATGGAATTACATTACTAAAAATTGGTTACACTGATGTATGGGAAAAGGCCAATCAGTTGGACACCAAACACGCCTAAACTACAAGGTCCATATGGCTAATGGGACACTTCAGACCACCTAAGGGGAGATATGCATAAGATCCATTATGTGTATGTTCTCCAACAAATTGTAATTTCCTTCTGTTATACAATCTGTAGTCAGATTGTGAAACCTTGCCAGATGGTAATATACAGTACTGGACAAAGGTTTTAGGTGTGTGTGATAAAATGCTGTAAATGAAGAATACTTTCAGAAATAGAAGTGTTAATAGTTTATTTTGATCAATTTACAAAATGGAAAATAAAAGAACAGAAATTTATATAAAATCAATATTTGGTGTGACCACACTTTACCTTCAAAACCGCATCAATTCTTTTAGGTACATTTGCACACAATTTTTGAAGGAATTTGGCAGGTAGGTTGTTTCAAACATCTTGGAGATCTAACCATAGATCTTCTGTGGATGTATGCTGCCTCAAAGACGTCTGTCTCCTCCTGTAATTCCAGAACGACTCAATGATATTGAGATCAGAGCTCTGTGGGGACCAAACCATCACTTCCAGGACTCCTTGTCCTTGTTGGCAATGCCAACATAACGGGGAAACCATTGGATAGATCTTATAAAAAGCGCCAGGGGCCTGTACCAGCGAGTTAGTTTATAACCTGCCTCCTGGTTTCTGCTAAACAGGGAGGACTGATGCGCAAAGTAGAGAACTCAGTCTCTGTGCAGTAGTCAAGGTTTTGTTTAGGTCCCTTTCCCACTTCTGGAGGAAGTGGGGAACACAGTCCTCCAGAGGTTTGCCAAAAATGGGCGCATAAGACATCGATAGCATGTGACGCAAAGAGGAAGTCTGTGAACAGAGTTGCTTGAACAGGGAGATCCTTGAGATTCACCCTACTCAATCTGATGGTGGAAAGGGACTTGTGTATCTGCATGGCCCTCAACGAGTCCAAAGAGGGGGGAGATCATGGCCTGGATCTCAGAGATGGACTGCAATCTGTCTCCCATCAGAAAGTGCTGAACAAGGAATTGGTTGGTTAAAAGAAAATCTTGGAATCTTGTGTCCTCTAATCCCAGGGTGAATTCCTGTACCCCTATGATCGGGGACATTAGAGTGAATGTCCGCAGAGCGGAGCTCAGGCAGCCCACTTTGGTTAGTATTGCCACTGTGGTTCCTGATAGGATGCGTTTTTACCTCAAACAGGAGAGGCGTGGATTGCCACGGGAGCATCTGTAAGGGGAACGGTGACATATATTGCTCCAAGCCTACCCAACCCTTTTCCAACTTATGTTTAATGCAGTCTAAAGTACGGGACATGTCACCTGCATAGAAATATGTAAAGGGATCTGGGAAGCCCATACCCCACTTCTTGGGTAGAGCAAGAAACTGGTAGGAAATGCTTTTTGTTTTATGACCCCATAAGAAGTTCAAGAATTCCGCTTTCGTCGCTCGGAAAAAATAACAGGGAATTGCTACCGGAAATGTTTGTAAAAGATATAGAATTCTTGGCAGTTCAACAAAAATCTGCTGCATTTGGCAGCTGCAGTTCTCATTTGAACATTGAAAATACTAAGGATACTGAAAGAGTCATGTTTCTGAGAGACTATCAATCTATAGCATCAGATTGGTCTCTGCAAGGAACCAAAGCCCAGACAAAACCTTGATAAGTGCTTTTCACTTTTAATTCCATTTGTTGCTTATTCTCTGTTTTATCATTTTTGTGCTCTAAATATGTTCTTGCACTAGTTTTCTTGTCTCTCATTAAAACCATATTTAGAATCACGAATCTACATCTCCTAATGCTCTAATCAGAAATCAAAGAACTATAGAAAGTTACTGTTGTTTTTTCAATCAAAATATATACATTTCCAGCCTTGATTGTATGTATTGGTTCAGGTAGAGAGGAAAGCTGACAGACATTTTACAGGTCTGAAGTCTACAGGCTGCCCAAGATAAAGAGAAAGGAGAGAATATCAGGGAGATAAGAAAATACACTATCCTTGTAAGCTTAAAGTATAACTTAAGGCAACACTTTTTTTTTTTTTATTTGACACGTGTTCTAATCCCTCTCAACTCTATTGGATAGAGTTGAGAGGGATTAGAACACCTGTCAGCTTTTTATTGCTGCCTGTGGCCCTGTTAGGAAGATTCACCCTCTCTTTTTGTCCTGTTTACCAGTATCACTGAAAATGAAAGAAAATCCCAAATTTTGGTTTGACCCCAGAACAGCAATAGTGAGTTTATCTTCAAATCAGGGCACTAGTTTTGGTGACACCCCAGTATTCCTGCATTATAGGAGGATTTTCACTTCCTGCTTGGCTATGGGACAGAAAGTGAAGGGAAATATCCCTAATGAGACACAGATAGCAAAAGTAAACTTTACAGGTGTTATAACCCTTCCTTACTCTATCCAAAATGGACAAAAAAAATTGCTTTTAGTTCTACTTGAACTTATTTTTTGTCTCCCTGGCAGCAAAATGTGTCCTGTCACCTCTGCTGCTTTTCTTTTCTCCCTCCCGAATCTGTGTTCCCTCCACAGTGTGTGTCATTCCTGTTGCTTTTGTCCCCCAGCAACAGTAAATCTTAAAGCTGTCAGTTGATATGCCTCTAGTGGTTTTGATTTTAGGCACAGTGCTGAGAATAGAGCACAACTGAGCATGTGAAGAACAGAGTGAGACAGTGCGTTGCTGGGTTTTAAACAGAATAGACACTTCATTTTAATGTTTTACGTAGCTATACCTGCAAAAGGGGCCAACCTGAAGTAATCTATCAGGACTTAATTTTCTGAATAAAGTTCCACTTTAACATTCTCTTGTGACGGTCACTCTCAGTATGCAGTACCTAGATTGTTGTCCCAGAGCAGGAAAATCACTGTACAGGGTGTGATCTGAAAGTGTAACTGGGGGAAAAAAGGGGTAACAATATGTTTGGGTTTTCTCAAAAAAATAGAGGTTAGAGGACATCTTTCATTTGGAAAACCTGCTCTGGTGACAACTGTCTAAGATACAATATCCCTGCTCTGTAAAGAGATCTCCTCTTTCTTTCTTCTGTGTCTCTGGGACAAGAAGTAAAGGGAAAGATTCCCAATGGGACACAGACAGCAAAAGAAACATACATGATGGGTTTAGCAATCCATACTCCAAAACTGAAAAAAGTTTGCCTTTACACACACTTTAAAATCTGATTATTTTGGAAACTGAAAAAATTAAAAGCTTGATGCCTTTCAGTAGGGTCATTGAAAGGAACATATCTCTAATTCTATTAAAAAAAAATTAGGAACGTGTACCATTTTACCTAAGTTTCCTTTCTTAATTTTATTGGATTTATACTCCTGCACATATCCAACAAATGTTATTTTTTTGTTACTGTTTGAAGAGGAGAGGGCTGTAGAATTGCAAGCTTTGTAGGAGAAAGAGAAGTATTTGATATACTTTTTGTTCAACTTTGTTTAGGTAAAAGACAAAGGAGCTGCCCAATGTAGAGATTAGGGTCCCTCTGCCCTAAAGCTGTGCAGTTTTTTCTTTGGAAAAGGGCTTACAAACTTCTCTGGCTCTTATGCAGGTGCCCTTACTGTGCTGCCAGTATTTTGCCCTCTCTGAAGTCTGGGCCTGCTTTGATTACAGATTTATATGATGCTAGTATGCAATTGCAATGTCAAAGATCTGAAGTATTGTCCAGCTATACTACTTAGTATTTTTTTTTCTTTAGTAAGATTACTTGAACTAACTTTACCTAAAAGTGGATATTTAACTCCTTCCTGCCCCCTCCTGTCAGCCCTTTAATGGAGTCTTAACAGCTAGGGGTGGAACAGACTTCTCAATCACACAATCACTATGATTGCTTGTTACAGTGGTCACATGTTCCGTAGCCTGTTTCGCTGACAATCATAAACAGAGACCTAGAGCTGTCTGTGCGGGGAGTGGGCACTTAGAATAGAAAGCTCAGCCACCGTGGGCACAATTGTGTGGCATGTGGGCCCACCCTCTCTGCTACTGCATATATATATTACATGGTCAGCAAGAGGTTAAATCTAACATGTAACATGCGTACATATGATAAAACTGTCAATCTCATGAAATGGGTTGATTTGTAAAATCTTCTGCAGTTAACATCTGTGATCACCTTAATGTTTTTGTGTTTTGTTTTATAGAGACGCAGAAGGCCCAACAGGACCACTATATGCTTCATCTAATCCGGAATATCTAAGTGCAAGTGAAGGTGAGTATTAGTAACACAAGATAGTTGTCTGTACGGACTAGGTTGAGGTCTAATGATGACCTTTTTATCAACCTAGAAGAAAAGTTTTGTGTTGCTGTTTTATTGACAGCTGTGCGTCACAAAATTTGTGTAAATATTTCGCCATTGCAGTTCCCTCACAGATTCTTTATAAGGAACTCTGTTGCCTTTTTTTTTTTTTTTTTTGGAGGTGAGCTTATAATTTATTATTGATTTACATAATGCCAGCTTCTAAAATGATCAGGGGATAAAATAGTAATATATCTGTTCCTCAAAACAGACATTTTTAAAAGTGCCACAGTTTAAAATGTATGCACCTTTCAACAATTCCTCTAGAGTTCAAGGGAGCCCCAAAACCCAGGGCACATTTTATGCAGTTATGGACTCCCATCTATAAAGCTGTTGCTTGACCCCACCACCTTCTACACCCCACCATTGACTGCCCATCATATAATAATGGATAGCGAGGCATCAGGCCTCACTATATGCTTCAAGTACAGATGCAATGAGTTCCTATGATCTTGGGCTTGGTGATTATTTTATGAGTTCCTGACCTGGAAAAAGTATGTAGGTCAGGAATTCTGACATTACTTCCTGCATGCTTATTCCAGGTCAGAAATTCAGTGCACCAAAGGCAGAGGCATCCAGGCATCTAGCATTTTCATAATGAGGTTAACTTTGACAGCTTACATATTCTACCTTAGTAACTGGTTTCCTTTAATACTATTGTTGGTTCTCTTTGCATACAACAGTTAATGTCAGAAAAATGTCTACACGCTTTGACACTGGCAGTATACGTGCATGGCACAATATAACAATATATCATTCCTCTAGTGTACATTCCAGACGAATGGGAAGTACCACGAGACAAAATCCTCTTGCTCCGAGAGTTAGGACAAGGGTCCTTTGGAATGGTGTATGAGGGTATTGCCAAAGATATAATAAAAGGAGAAGCTGAAGTACGAGTTGCTGTGAAAACTGTGAATGAGACCGCAAGTCTTCGGGAGAGGATAGAATTCCTCAATGAAGCCTCCGTCATGAAGGCATTCAGCTGCCACCATGTGGTAAGAACTAAACTTCTTCTTTTAGAAAAAAAAAATACCAGTTTATCTCAACACCTTTTACATGAAATGTACCTTCATGTTAAAGCGGAAATTTCAGGTTTACACATTCAGTTTATAAGAAAAGGGATACACTTGACCTCATTCTGTTTTTAGAACATGCTCTATTTAATGAGACTTCAGCAGCCATAATAATCTATAGTTGTCAGTGTAAGAGGCTCCAACACATTGTGTATTGTTGAATTAGAAGCCAATGAAACAAACTTCTTTTAACAAGGGAAAAAAAAAATATTTGAAGAGTTTCCAACTGCAATGAAAGTGTTGCTAAACCCATAACAGTAAAATCAGTCTGGATATGCAGCAAAGCATGCTTGTTATACTAACTGTGGAACCTTAGGGGTTAATCCTCCACATTGTGTAAAAAAAGATGTTTGGTCCTGTCTTCTCTGATCCTCCCCTTCTTCTACTGTCCCCAATCCATCTGCTGATAGTACAGAGCTCTAGGAGTCACTCTGCACATGCTCAGTTTAGTCTGTATTGCTAGTTTTTTTTTTTTTTGGCCCTGTGCTGATCACATGCATCCTCCCAATCAGCACTGTCCAGACAGAGGGTCAGGGGTTATGCAGCCACATAGGATAGTCAGAGGAAAATGAAAACTCCTCCTACAAGATTAACCAGTGCTCAGCTGGACACTGATAAGTCACAATACTGCTGATGAGAAAAGGTATTTAGCAGTTTAGTATATTTACTAAAATAATTGCATTTATATGTTCTGTGGAAGACCAGATATATTGAATTCTGGGTCCTGGGTTTAGTAGCACTTTAGGCTACTCAATAAAATCATCCCAGCCATCTGAACTGCAAGTTAATTACTTAAAGTAGAAATTCAGTCAAACCCAAACTATACTTAAACCTGCTCCCACCCTAATTCTAAGTCTGTTCTAACTACCCTGTAAAAGAAAGATGTCTATACATACCTATGCAGAGGGTGGTAGGTCACATGATCTCTCCTGCAGCCAGCTTTAGTGAAAAGATAACCAAACATGTCTGCAGATCTTGGGCGATAATGTCACCTATAAGCTTACTATGGGACATCCGTTGTTAGCTGTCCCTCCTGTACATTAAAGCTAGTGCTGAGAGCATATCATGTGACAAGACCAAAGCACCCTCAGAATAGGTAAATATTGACATGTTTCCTTTACAGGGTAGTTGGAATAGGCTTAGAAAGCGGGTGGAAGCTTTCTAAGCCAAAAATATTTTACCCTAATGCATTCCTTGCATTAAGCTAAAAAATGTTTTGGTAGTAGTATCCCCCCCTCACCCCTCTTATACTTACCTGAGCCCTTATTTGATCCAGTGCTCTGCCCATCTGCAGTGGCTCACTCCCTCATTTCCTGGTCTCACAGACGTTGCTGAGGCAGTGGGAGCCATTGGCACCGGGGCAGATCTGAGCCCTGCTGTCTGTGTCTGTAAATACAGGCAGTGGGCTTAGGAGCGAGCCCACATGAGTGCCCCATTGGAAGTGGTTTCCCTTGCTGGAGAGGAGGAGTCAGAAGCACCATTTCTTGGGTTCCCCACTGGTGCTTCTGACTCCTCCTCTCCAGCAAGGGAAACCACTGAATTTTAGGCAGGTGGCCAGTCAAATCATAATTATACTTAAAGTGATTATAAATGCAAACAATTTTTCTATAAAAATAAACAACTTTATACTTACCTGCTCTGTGCAATGGAATTGCACAGAGCGGCCCTGAGACTCAGGGCCGCTCTGTGCAATTCCATTGCACAGAGCAGGTAATATAAAGTTGTTTATTTTTATAGAAAAATTGTTTGCATTTATAATCACTTTAAGTATAATTATGATTTGACTGGCCACCTGCCTAAAATTCAGTTTCAAATAGACATTTTCGCTCTGTTGTGGTTTGCAACTTGAAATTAACCATTTTACCTTCCAGTTCTCAAAAGAATAATGCAAACATTTTGCTTCATAGGTTTTTAATAGCCACGCAGTAATTGTGCTTAATAATAGAGTGTAGTGAAGATTCTCTCTGAAAAGCAATCTTAGATTTTTTTTTTATCTTAGAAAATAGTTTATCACGGATAAAACATAGTACCCAGCAACTAACCTCTCTTTGAGCTTCACAGTTGATCACCAGCTGCTCTAAGTGTCATCCGTTTTCCATACTGGTGCCCCCCACCTTCACCACTATCAAGTGGGTTATTTATTGAGTTGTGTTCTGGAAGTACTGTTGAATATATACTGAGAGGTCCTTTCTAATGTGGATTTATATTAATATATAGTAAACAACTTTGCTAGGTCAATTTTTCTTTGTCCTACAGTGTTTCTTATTTTTGGTGATTGGAAAGTTAAAGTCGCTCTATTACTACTTTACTTTTTCAGGTTCGTCTCTTGGGTGTTGTCTCCAAAGGTCAGCCTACACTGGTTATTATGGAACTGATGGGGAATGGAGACCTTAAAAGCTACTTGCGTTCACTACGCCCTGATGCTGAGGTGAGATTGTTTAATGAGGGAAGGTTAAAAGTAAGGGAAAAAAAAAATGAATAAAGACTTGCATTTCATGCCTTTTGTCCCTTGGATTTGCCTCTAGATAGAAGACAATAAGGAACTCAAACGAGATATCAAGAAAGAAAGACCGCAAGGGAAATCTTTGGTCACAGCATACACTTTCATTATGATATCAGCATTGTAATAGCAGTTTAACCACTTGCCGACCAGCCACTGTAGAAAAACGGCTACAGGGCAGCACCGCTTTGCAAAATCACGTTTTAAAACTTCATTTTGCAAAACGGGTAGGGGGGCGCACGCCCGCCCTACCCGTGCCGCCGATTGTGGCCATGGGTGTCAGTCATCGGGTCCCAGCCAGTCATTACCCGCTGGGTCCCGGCAATTGCTGGCAAACAGTGACACAGAGCACAGCTGCATTGTCAAGTGTTTTTTTTTTTTTTTGCACTGATCACTGTATGGGTGTCACTGGGGATGTCAGTGACCCCAAGTCAGTAGTTCTCCCCCCCAGTGTCAAAATGTCCTCTGCAGTCCCGACATAAGTCGCTGATCACTGTCATAAATCGCTGATCACCGCCATAAGTTGCTGATTGCCGCCATTATTAGTATAAAAAAAAAAAAATCCCAGTATCTTTTTCGCCATTTGTAAACGCTATAAACCTTTCACGTAAACCAATTAATTTACACGTATTGGGATTTTATTTTAGCAAAGACATGTCGCAGAATACATTTTGGCTGAAATTTATGATGAAATTTGATTTTTAAATTTTTTTACTGGACATGTTTTATAGCAAAAAAGTCCAAAATATTGTTTATTTTCTCAAAATTGTCAGCCATTTTTTTTTTTATAGTGCAAAAAATTAAAAACGCACAGGCGATCAAATACCACCAAAAGAAAGCTCAATTCCTGGGGAAAAAAAAAAGGACGTAAATTTAATTTGGGTGCAGTGTTGCATGACCGCACATTTGTCAGTTAAAGTAACGTAGCAACGTGACACAAAACCGCTTTTGTAACCGCTTCCTGACCGCCCTATAACAGAAATACTGCTACAGGGCGGCATGGGTGCGCAAAATCACACACACACACACACTTTGTGCTCCTGTGGTTTTCACGCCCCTTCCAGATAGCGTCAGATTGCCTGTCAGTACTCCAGTCATCACATTTAACCCCTTGATTGCCAGGAGCACGCTCGTGCACAATAAACCTCCATTGCTAGTATAGTGTCTGAACGGATCAATATCTTTGATCAGATCAGCACTATACCAGAGTTCACATTAGTACAGCGTCCCCAAAAACACACAGCGTTAGCGGGATCAGCCCCAGCACCGGCCAGCACCTGCGTTTAGCCCCCTACGCTTACCCCCCCCCCCTTCTCCCCCAGCAAGTGCAGTGTCAGTAGGTCACTGTCACTTGATACATTGCACACAACACCGCAGTGTTCGCAGAATCAGGCCTGATCTCTGTTAGCACTTGCCGGTAAGTTTTGATGACTCTCCTATGCAGCAGAGTGCCAGTACTAGTGCCGCTCTACCTTTTGGTGAACTGGCGAGTACCAGCGGTCTAGTACATCTTGGTCTTTCACATACCTACTTGATTTTTGGAGCTGTTTTTCACGGAATATCTCTATGCGTTGATTGTGGATCAAAGCAATTTATATGCACAATTTATCGCCGCCAACCCAAATTCAAACCTTGCCAGACCAGTCGCATGGAAACTCATTACGGTTTCCGAATTTACATTTTTTGGGGGGGCCTAACCCTCAACATGGGCATTGCTAAAAGAAATGAATTACAGTTGCATTGGTCCGCAGACCCGATTCATCATATGCCCGTGTTCTCTGCTGCCATCGCCAGGCATAGATATGAGAGTATAATGTGTTTTATGCATTTCAACAACAATACACTGTCATCCTCGGGATGACCCTGAATTTGACCGGCTCCACAAAATTCAGCCCCTCGTAAATCACCTTAACCAAAAATTTGCAGATGTCTATACTCCCCAGCAAAACATCTGCATTGATGAGTCCCTATTAATTTTTCTGGCCTCTTTGCATTCAAACAATTTCTCCCCATCAAGCGTGCCAGATATGGGGTCAAGATGTAGAAGACCTGTGAGAGGACAACAGGCTATACTTATAAGTTTCGGATTTACAAGGGAATAGCCGCGGAGCCCCCCGGATGCCCAGACTACATGGGGAGCAGTGGCAAGATAGTTTGGGACTTGGTGTCATCCTTTTTCCATATGGGGTACCACTTATACATGGACAATTTTTATTCAAGCATGCCACTATTTAGACATTTGTACAATCTTGGAACTGGTGCATGTGGCAGAGTGTGACGTAATGTGTGCCCACCATTAGAAGTGGGTGGATGCAGGGAGGAATATTCTAATGGTGGGCATACCTCACACTTTTTCTCACAGAGATTTCGTCTCTTTTACAAAAAAAAAAAAGAACATCGCATATACAGTGCGGCAAAAAATTATTTAGTCAGCCACCAATTGTGCAAGTTCTCCCACTTAAAAAGATGAGAGAGGCCTGTAATTGGCATCATAGGTAGACCTCAACTATGAGAGACAAATGAGAAAAAAAATCCAGACAATCACATTGGCTGATTTGGAAAGAATTTATTTGCAAATTATGGTGGAAAATAAGTATTTGGTCAATATCAAAAGTTCATCTCAATACTTTGTTATATATCCTTTGTTGGCAATGACAGAGGTCAAACGTTTCCTGTAAGTCTTCACAAGGTTGGCACACACTGTTGCTGGTATGTTGGCCCATTCCTCCATGCAGATCTCCTCTAGAGCAGTGATGTTTTGGGGCTGTCGCTGGGCAACATGGACTTTCAACTCCCTCCAAAGGTTTTCTATGGGGTTGAGATCTGGAGACTGGCTAGGCCACTCCAGGACCTTACGAAGCCACTCTTTCATTGCCCGGGCGGTATGTTTGGGATCATTGTCATGTTGGAAGACCCAGCCACGTTTCATCTTCAATGCCCTTGCTGATGGAAGGAGGTTTGCACTCAAAATCTCAGGATACATGGCCCCATTCATTCTGTCCTGTACATGGATCAGTCGTCCTGGTCCCTTTGCAGAGAAACAGCCCCAAAGCATGATGTTGCCACCCCCATGCTTCACAGTAGGTATGGTGTTCTTTGGATGCAACTCAGCATTCTCTCTCCTCCAAACATGACGAGTTGTGTTTCTACCAAACAGTTCTATTTTGGTTTCATCTGACCATATGACATTCTCCCAATCCTCTTCTGGATCATCCAAATGCTCTCTAGCAAACTTCAGATGGGCCCGGACATGTACTGGCTTAAGCAGGGGGACACGTCTGGCACTGCAGGATCTGAGTCCCTGGCGGTGTAGTGTGTTACTGATGGTAGCCTTTGTTACGTTGGTCCCAGCTCTCTGCAGGTCATTCACTAGGTCCCCCCGTGTGGTCCTGGGATGTTTGCTCACCGTTCTTGTGATCATTTTGACCCCACGGGGTGAGATCTTGCGTGGAGCCCCAGATCGAGGGAGGTTATCAGTGGTCTTGTATGTCTTCCATTTTCTAATTATTGCTCTCACAGTTGATTTGTTCACACCAAGCTGCTTGCCTATTGCAGATTCAGTCTTCCCAGCCTGGTGCAGGTCTACAATTTTGTTTCTGGTGTCCTTCGACAGCTCTTTGGTCTTCACTATAGTGGAGTTTGAAGTGTGAATGTTTGAGGTTGTGGACAGGTGTCTTTTATACTGATAACAAGTTCAAACAGGTGCCATTGATACAGGTAATGAGTGCAGGACAGAGGAGCCTCTTAAAGAAGACGGTACAGGTCTGTGAGAGCCAGAAATCTTGCTTGTTTGTAGGTGACCAAATACTTATTTTCCACCATAATTTGCAAATAAATTCTTTCCAAATCAGCCAATGTGATTGTCTGGATTTTTTTTCTCATTTTGTCTCTCATAGTTGAGGTCTACCTCTGATGCCAATTACAGACCTCTCTCATCTTTTTAAGTTGGAGAACTTGCACAATTGGTGGCTGACTAAATACTTTTTTGCCCCACTGTAAACCCAACAAGGACCAGCGACGTACTGGTACATCACTGGACTTTGAATGGTTATACCAGGATGATGCCTACAGCTGCAGACTTCATCCTGGTATCGTTTTTTTTCAGCCGGCGATCGGTTTTCATGTAAAAGCAATCCTAGTGGCTAATTTAATTGCTTTTACAAGCAGCAGGATTTGATGCCCCCCCCCCCCCCCCCCCCCCAGGCTGCCTTCCACAGCCTTCTCGGGCAGTCCCGTGCCATCGGGGGAACCTGAGAATGCAGCCGGTGTTTCTGCCAGCTGACCATAGAGCTGATTGGAGACCAGAGTGGTGCCAAATCTCTATAGTCAGAATTCGGAAGCTACGAGCATGTCATCACTTCAGTTTTGCAGGATATAAACAGCGCCATTTGTAAATTGAGAAAGCATCTGATCACACCGATTTTGGTTTGATTAGATAATGTAAGGGCAGAGGAGATATCTAGAGCCTGATAGACCCCATATTTCTCAAAAAAGAATATATGACAATGGCCATTAAAGTTATAGTGGATATTTGCATTCCCTGTGATAGCGTTAAAAGTGATCAAAAAAAAAAAATGAAAGGTACAGTGTAAAAATAATTAAAAAAATCAAAATAACTTAAAAAAAAAAAACCTCACCCCTCCCATGCACGCACACCTGTGTGCACAAGCGTTGACCCTGTGCCGGTATGTAAACAGCGGTTCACCATACATGTGAGGTATCACCATGAACGTCAGATCAAGGGCAGTAATTCTAACACTAGACCTCCTCTGTAAATCTAAAATTGTAGCTTGTAAAGGTTTTTAAAGGATTGCCTATGGATATTAAAAATGTATGCAGTTTGTCGCCATTGCATGGGGCATGCACAGTTTTAAAGCATGTCATGTTTGGTATCTATTTACTTGGCATAGCTTCTTTTATATCTTACCAAATAATTGGCCAATATATTGAGTTTTTGTGCATTAAAAGTAAAAAAAAGTGTGTTTTTTTGTTGTTTTTTTTTTTTTTAAATTTAAATTGCAAGTACTATCGAAAAATCGCTGCGCAAGTACTATGTGCCATAAAAAATTGTAGTACCCACTATTTTATTCACTAGGGTGCCTGCTTTAAAAAAATATATAATGTTTGGGGGTTTAAATAATTTCCTAGCAAAAAATACAGATTTTTTTCATGTGAACAAAAAGTGTCAGAAAAGGCTTGATATTCAAGTGGTTAGAAGAGTGAGTGATGTGTGGCATAAACTTCTAATGCTGGGCATAAAACGACCCGACCCATTTTTTGGAAAGTAGACACCCCAAACTATTTGTTGAGAGGCATGTTGAATCAATAGAAGAAGTTATTTTTTTACCACAAGTTTTTGGAAAATTCCAAAAAACATTTTTTGTTTTTTTTTACACAAAATTGTCAGTTAACTGATTTACTGCTCACACATGCCATGGGTATATGTGGAATTACTCCCCAAAATACATTCTGCTACTTCTCCCGAGTATGGGGTACCACATGTGAGAGACATTTTGGCAGTGTATCCAAGTAAAGGCCCCCCAAAATCCAATAAGCACCTTCAGGCTTTTAAAGGACTTTTTTTCCTCATTACACTTCCAGACTACCTATCACAGTTTGGGAGGCCCTGAAATGCCAGGATAGCACCTAACCCCCCAAATGACCCTTTTTTGGAAAGTAGACACCCAAGGAATTTGATAAGAAGCGTGGTAAGTATTTTGCAGATCTCATTTGTTGCCACAAGTTTTTGGAAAATGAAGAAATAAAACAAAAACATATTTTTTCTATTCTTTCTTTTAGATTTCAAAACCTTGTGAGAATAAATGAGATCTGCAAAATACTCATCATGCCTCCTTTTTAAATTTCTTGGGGTGCCTACCTTCCAGAAAGGGGTCATTTGGGGGGGTTTGGTGCTATCCTGGCATGTCAGGGCCTTTGAAATTGTGATAGGTATTGAGGAAGTGAAATGAGGAAGTTACGCACCTTCAGGCTTTCAAAGTGGTCATTGGATTTCAGGCTCCTGTATGTGGCTAGGCTCCCAAAAAGTCTCACACATGTGGTATCCCCATACTCGGTAGAAGTAGCAGAATGTATTTTGGGGTGTAATTCCACATATACCCATGGCTTGTACGAGAAATAAATAATTTAACATGACAACTTTGTGTAAAAAAAACAAATATATGTTTTTGTCATTTTCCAGAAACTTGTGGAAAAAAAATTAATCTTACATGGACTCAATATCGCACTCAGCAGATAGCTTAGGGTGTGTACTTTCCAAAAAGGGGTAATTTGAGGGTGTTTGTACTATGCTGGTATTTCAGCACCTCAAGAAATGTGATGAGCAGTCAGAAAGTAAAAGCTGTGTAAATTCCATTTATCTATACCATAGTTTGTAGACGCTATAACTTTCACACAAAGCAATAAATATTTACACTTATTGGGATTTTTTATGACCGAAATGAAATTTTTTTTTTAACCAAAAACATGTAGCAGAATACATTTTGGCCTAAATTTATAACTAACTTTGAGTTTACTATATACATTTTTTTTTATAGCTGAATGTAAAAAATATAAAAAATATTGTTTTTCTTCAAAATTTGCAGTCTTTTTTTGTTTATAGTGTGAAAAATAAAAAGCGCACAGGTGATCAAATACAACCAAAAGAAAGCTCTATTTGTGTGAAAAAAAAGGATGTAAATTTCGTTTGGGTGTAGCATTGCATGACCGCGCAATTATCAGTTGAATTAGTGCAGCACCGAGTAGCAAAAAGAGGCCTGGTCATTAAGGGGGGTAAATCCTCAGGAGTACAAGTGGATAAACAATAGTTATATTTGGCAATCCAATGTAAGCTTACTTGAGAAATGTCTTTTTCATGTTGTGAGTGCTGCCTGTTTGCTGGTCATCTCTTTCCACAACCTCCTGGATTCCCTGCATGTTTGCAGTGTCTCCTCTGCTGTTTACTTTTGATTTCTAAAGACTGCATTTTCCATGGTACCTTGCTGCCTGCAAGCAGTAATTCCTATACTCAAGCTCCTCTTCTTAACACCTCTGTAGTTCAGAAGTCAGGCGCTGCGATTTGTTTGACACAGTAGTGTCTATCAAAAAAGGCATAGTGATTATGTTATATGTGTCACAGAACTCAAGGAAGTAAATGTGTGGGGATCTTCACAAAGTAAATTTACAAACTTCAAGATCATTCAGAGTAACTGGATTAGGCTGAAAGCCATTGAAATACATTGTGGAAATGATTATATGTTACATTTTGACCATAGATAACCTTTAACACCTTTTCTAATAGGTAAAATATAACACATAGCACTACATTTTTGTTATTTCCTTGCTTCAGAATAACCCAGGCCGTCCAGCTCCCTCCCTACGAGAAATGATTCAGATGGCTTCAGAGATTTCTGATGGCATGGCTTATCTCAATGCCAAAAAATTTGTACATCGTGATTTGGCTGCTCGAAACTGCATGGTTGCAGAAGATTTCACTGTGAAAATTGGAGGTGGGTTAATGTAACTGATTCTTTTGAGTTAATCAGTGACATTTATAAGGAAAGTTCAGTGTTTACTATGCTAACATGTTTAGATTAGAACATTATGTTGCATTGATTCAGTATGATGACCAATTCAGACAATTATAGACTTCCAGATAAGGGAATGTGAAGTTTACTGTAAATAAAGTATTATTGTCATGGAGAATCCAGTAAGGAACTGGTGAACATGATGCTCCACATAAAGTATTCTAGCGGGTTTTCAAAACAAGATTTCACTAGCTGGTAGTGCTGCAAATGAAAGCTTCCACTTCAGCCCTGGGGTTTGCGCAAACAAAAGGAGCTTGTTTTAAATGTGGTTCTAGGAGATTTTTTTTTCTTACACAATCAGAAGGAAATAGCATTTCTAGTTATCCTGGAAAAATCACAGTTAGGATTTTACAAACATATTCAATGATCCTTTAATTTGAACAATGTGAGAAAATGATTACAGTTCATCTATTCAGTTCATTATTTAGTATCATTTATCTACAAACTGTGGAATTAACTTTTGCTCATAGATTTTGGGATGACTCGTGACATCTATGAGACGGACTATTATCGAAAAGGGGGAAAAGGGCTGTTACCAGTCAGGTGGATGTCCCCGGAATCCCTGAAAGATGGAGTGTTCACCACCTTCTCAGATGTCTGGTATGAAACACATAGATTATATGAAAACTGCATTCTACAAACATCTTTCAGCAGCAGCATGCTGCAATCATGTGATCTTGATTAGAGTAAAATAATCAATGTAATCCTTCTAGTAGTATGCAATGCTAGGATCACTGTCTTACAGACATATCTGAGGAACCCATGATGTGTTCTATGCATGTCTAGAATGTAATATAACAAAGACTTAAACTCCAAACATAGGTGATTTAGTAAAACTGGAGCACTCAGAATCTGGTGCAGCAATGGTAGCCAATAACTTTCTAACTTCAGCTTGTTAACTTAAAGTGCTTGCAAACCCTCACAAATACCAAATGAAGTGGCTAGCCTCAAGTGATACACAGAGATGAAACAAATCCTCCTACACACATTGTAAGTCTTCTCTTCATCTGTTCAAAGTGCTGAATTTATAAAGCTTGTATGAGATGTCAAAAAAAAAGGGGCAGATAGCTGAAGTTACACTCTGCAGATCTTAGTGAGAAGAGCTCTGGGAGCTGATTTGAAGGAAGGAACACCCCCACCTCCCTTCACATGGCATACAGCAACAGAGCTGAGGCTGTCGATAAGGTGGAACTCCCTCCCTTGTCACCTTTTCTCTGTGGCAGGAAAACTTGTTATTCATGGTGATAGCAGAGAAATGATGCAGCAGACAGAAATTACAGTTTGCACTTACTTGAGACCAGTCCACACTATAGAGGGATATGCTTTGTTCATATTTCATGTCAGAGGTTTTTACCACTTTAAATTTTGACAATAAAACCTGGAAGCTCATTGATTTCTGTGCAGAGTTGCACCAGGTTTTACATGTTCCAGTTTTAGCAAATCTCTTCCATAGTTTCTCTGCTCGTATCAGCATATGATCAAATACTTGTATTTTTGAATATTCATTTGTGATAGTAAACAAGTACATCCACTGCATGTCAGTTTAATGCCCCATAAGCTAAATATGTATTGTCAGCTTCTCCCTCCTTATTCAGTTAAGAAAATAGGACATTTTCTGACCCTCTAGTCAAACTACTGATCATCCGAGCTGACCTTATGTCACTGCTCTTACACACTGAGGTTGTATATAAAATTGATAGATTTTATTATAAGCATTCTATAGTTGACTGTACATGGTCACGGGTAACTTTTGGTAATAAACCAATTATGCTGTCTTGTTCTCAATGGTCTTAACACATACATACTTTTGCTGGTAAATAGACATGTAACAGGCTTGTTTTAGTGAATGAATGTCCAAAAATCTAAGTGTAAAGTGCAGTAACCATGTAAACCAACTGAAATACCTTTTTGTAGTGGTTTAACTAGTTTGTGGGTACTGCACTTTGCACTGAAAGCTTGGCTTCCTGTACTGTTTATATATGAAAGCCTACAGTCCTGTTGCATACTACTTTTAGCCCCAGAGCCATCACTTTCATTGTACACTCTTGTTTTTTTGGGATAATAGATTTTTTAAACCAACTGTAATTTTTTTTTTTCTGTGGTTACACTGCTACCAACAGGAGTTTGGGATACTGGCAAACTGAAAAAATGTATGACTGTCCCCATATAACCTCTCATTTACCCAGTATGCCCTAGTTTTTTTTAGAAAGAATTACACAAGGTCAGCAAGAAAACAGGGCTGTGGGACCTGTGTCAATGGACTCTAAGAAAAAGATTTTACTGTCCATTAATAGACACCAAAATTCAGAAACTGCTGGGATATCCATAAGCTGTTCTGTGCATTATCTGTTCTGTCTCAAGGAGACATGGGCAATGGCCACTGACAAGCCCAAGAATTTTGGAACCCACCTCTAACTATAATTGTCTAAAAGACCAACACCCAAATGTAAAGCATTTTACAATGCCCTAGTAAGGCAGGGGAACTGTCACCGCTAAAGGGAATGACACTACCTGAAGAACATTTAGCCTGACGCCGCAAGAGCCAGGAAGAACAAACCAGCAATCCACCAAAACAGATAGAAAAAACACAAATATAACACACAGTGAGGAAACTAGATCAGCAAGATGTGGTCAATAGTGAAAAAAAAGTCTTAAGGAGAATAGATCTGCCAAGGGAACCTTGGACATTCTAACCAGTCCTTTAGAAAAGACCGGCTGGTTAACATAAGAATGGACACGCTTTATATTTCTAACCCTTTAGAAATATAAAGCTTATATATATATATATATATATATATAATATATAAGGTTTCAAACTGGCAGCCCTCCAGCTGTTGCGATACTACATGTCCCATCATGCCTCTAAGGGAGACATTACAGTCAAGAGTAACACTCCGGGCCACCCAGCTTGCGTTCCTAGACCTTCCTGGACGTGAAGGTCCTGCAACACTTGAATGTTCAATGGATACCAAATTGCAATGCTGGCTCATAGATGGAAGGAACTGTCTGTTTTGGAAGACCAGACTGAAACCCCAGGTATGGGGGCACACTAGCTAGTGAAGTCCCCCAAGGTGAGGGATAGAAGAACACCCCAAGAGACTGACAGGTTTCTCCAGGAACTTCTTAATCCAAAAAGGCCATCAGGGTGTCTCGCAATGAATCCAGGCTCCTAGACATAGAGAGGGAGGATGAAAAGGATTGAGAGTCAACTATTAAAGGGATAGTAAAGGGAGAGATGATCTTGGTAGGGTATTCCCTTAGTACTCTACTAGCCCTGAAAGGGGAAGGAGGGAGATTTTTTTTTCTAAAAAGATAAGGAAGACACAATTAACCTACCAGGAGTGGATTTCTGTAGTGCGCATTAGAGCTGAACAGTCTTGCTATTGGTGACCCACTTTTACCAAATCTTGCAGGTGTTAGGCCCTTTAGAAGGGTGTAGACTACAGAGTATTAGGAATAGGCACTAGGGTGACATAAGGTACAGCACATTGGGATGTAAGTTGCCACTGAAGAATACTGATGGGTCAGGTTTTTACTGTGTAGAGGAACAGTAGGAACTGGCCCCGCTCATCTTGTAGGTCATGGGTTCCCTCAGGAAAGGAGCAAAGATAGGGGGTAAATCATACCATCAGGGGTTCAAAAGAATTCCCTTGAAACAAGCAGTGTAAGTCTATGTGGGGTACCACTCCTAAAGTCAAGTTTAGACTGGAGTAGGAACAAAGGGTCCTAGGGTGCAGGGAACCTAGACAACCTTGGAAGAAACACTACTGTGTGGAGTAATACTATTAAAATGTTAAAGATGCTAGCTGCAGGAGATGTCAGATACAAGGAAGCAAACTGCCTAAATACTCTTCCAAATGTACAAACAGCCAACCACTTGTAGAAGTGGTGTTGCACCTTCAAAAGGGTTAACAGAGTGGTTAGCTAACCTCTGGCTTTAACCACTTGCCTACAGGGCACTTATACCCCCTTACTGCCCAGGCCAGTTTTCAGCTTTCAGCGCTGTCGCACTTTGAATGACAATTGCGTGGTCATGCAACACTGTACCCATATTACATTTTTATAATTTTTTTGAGACAGAGCTTTCTTTTGCTGGTTTTTAATCACCTCCTGGGTTTTTTATTTTTTAAACAAACCAAAAACTGAAAATTTTGAAAAAAAAATATTTTTTTTCTCAGTTTTTGTTATAAACTTTTGTAAATAAGTGATTTTTCTCTCCTTCACTGATGTGCGCTAATGAGGCTGCAGTGATGAGCACTGATAGGCTGCACTGATGGGTGACACTGATGGGCACTAGTAGGTGGCACTGATGGGCATAGACAGGCATCACTGATGGGCACTGAAAGGCAAAACTCATATATAGCACTGATGCACACTGATAGGCGGCACTGATAGGTGGCACTGACTGGCATTGATAGGTGACACTGACTGGCACTGATAGGTGACACTGAAAGGCAGCTCAGATGGGCACTGATATGTGGCATTGATGTGGCACTGATGGGCACTGGCAGGTGGCACTGATGAACACTGACAGCTGGAATTGATGGGCACTGACAGGTGGCACTTCTGGGGCTACGTTGATCATCGGGGCACACAGTGCCCCGATGATCAGTGTACATGTCCCCTCCGAGGAATGCCGATTACCGGCTCTCCTCTCCTCTCGAGCTGTCAGCATGACAGCTCGTGAGGAGAGAAATGCCGATAACCGGCATTTCCCTATTTACATGCGATCAGCTGTGATTGGACACAGCTGATCACATGACCGAGCTGAGATCTTTGGCTCTTTCTGTTGATCGGTGATCCGCCGTGTCCAAGGGATGCAGCACACCATCGGTCACTGCGCTGCGTGCTCCCAGAGCCGCGCATGCGCGGTTAGAGTGGGAGGACGTCATATGACGTCCTCCCAGAACGAGAGAACTCCCTTGCACCCGTCATTACCTTATATGGCGGGTGGGAGGCGGTTAAGCTCTACGGCCTGAGTGAGAGACTGTGAATGCCTACGTGTACTTGCCTACATGTACTTACTTCTGTACAGGTTTTAGTTTGGTCACATGTGTTTTTGGTGTTTAGTTAGTAGTCATTTGACCCACAGGTACACTGTTTGGGAAAAATAATTTCCTAATACTTTTGCTTTCCTGTTATGTAAAATGTTTACTTTTTGCCTTTTTATTAGCTTATTGAATATTGCTCCCTCCAACCTCCCAGAAGACAAGACTCTCTTTGAGCAATTGAATGCCTCAGCACTGTCTCAACATTACCAGTAATAAAATTAACTAAAATGTAACTTTATTATAACTTCTCTGTGCTGCTTACAGTACATAGAATAATCACTTGCTAATACTGTGATCTGTAATGGTATATTTTTTATGAAAATGGAGGAGGAGAAGGCTGGAGCAGGCTTTCTAAAGTAAAATTGTTATTTAGGTACAACAATTCTTAAATGGGTGCCCAGCATACATCTAAAGAATGTAGCTTTTTTATTTTATATAAATAGCTGATGAAAAACTGTCTTCCTCTAGGTCCTTTGGTGTAGTGCTGTGGGAAATAACAACTTTGGCTGAACAGCCCTATCAGGGTCTATCCAATGAACAGGTCCTCAAGTTTGTTATGGATGGAGGGTCACTGGAACAGCCAGAAAATTGTCACCCCAGACTGTAAGTCTTAAAATAATTTTGAAATGGAACAATACATGAAAATGCTACACAATATATTTATCACTACATATTGCACTATCACAAAATGATATGGATCGATTTTTTTAAAGAAGTATTCTTTTATGTTTTTTTTTAATTTAAGATGAGTAATGAATACAATTTTTAGGTATTTGTGTATTAAGAACGACTAGCTTTAGATACCACCAATACATATTCATCATGTAATCTTTTCTTTTTTTTTTTTATTTCTTTGTTACAGTCACAGTCTGATGCAGATGTGTTGGCAATACAATCCCAAGATGAGGCCTACTTTCTTGGAGATCATTGATATGCTAAAGGATGACCTCCATCCAAGTTTTCAGGAGGTATCCTTCTACTATAGTGAGGAAAATAAACCTCCTGAAGCAGATGATCTTGAGATGGATTTTGAAAATATGGAGAGCACCCCTCTGGATCCGTCTTCCTGTTCATTACGGGACGAGGGACAGCGAGGAAATATTTATGAGGAACATATCCCCTACACCCACATGAATGGGAGTAGGAAAAATGGACGAATTCTGTCTCTGCCTCGTTCCAGCCCATCCTAACACACAGAGCCGCCCCTGTTGAAAATTTTAACTATCCTCCATCAAATCTCAGGACAGAACTGTACCCATGGCTAGAACATCAAACCGTCATTGCCCGTCTTCAGGTTTTGTATGTTTCATTGCCCCATTGGGTGCTTAACTTTATTTTTGTCTTGTGCTTTGGTTTTTTTTTTTTTTTTTTTTGTTTTTTTTTTTTGGGACAGTCTGACTGTAGGGCAAAACTGTGAACCGACAAAGCAACGGGGAAAACTCCATTTGAATCAACTACACTTTATTACGTATTTATTTCCAGTGGCTTTTTACTATCAAGGCAAAGGTGTGCTATGCATAAAAAGGAGGAAATGCTTCTAATTTGAAAGCACATGCCAAAGCATGAACCGATGCTCTACAAGAAGGAAAAATTAAAACTACACCTTCTTTGCGTAATGGATTAAGGCTGCTGAAACCTTAATCGCTGTTATGGAGCCGTCTAAGCTCAACTTGAGGTTGTCTGACCATAGAGTCTTATCCTGCTTCGCCATTGGGAAAATCACATTAAAAAAAAAAAAAAAAAAAAACCTATTCTGGAAGAAATGAGCAGAAAGGACCTAATTGCAAGGAATGTTTAACAAGGTGAAGTTCATATACCTTACATGTTGTCCCATCGTCCACTCATCTTCTGACCTGCTGAGTTTCCCCAACATAACTATATTTTGAACTTTTTCAACGAGGTGCACAAACTGTGCTTCTGTGATTTTCTGGCTACAACATATTCATTTGGTTTCCTGTTATTCACTGAGTGCTCAAGAACCTCCAGTGGTGGGCCCAGTTTCTCTCATAGGAGCAGAAACAAGTCTTTTGAGATGGTTGATATTTTGTTAGATATGTTCGTAATCAGACCAAAAAAGGAGCAAAGTCTCACCATCCCCTTCCCTCCATTATATAACATGAATGCCATTGATGTGTAGTATCAGCATTTCCTTTCCTTTCTACTCAAGTAGATGTTGGTTGGGTAAGGTAATGTAGAGGTTCTAGTGGGAAAAAAACAAAACAAAACTATTATATACCCGCCCCCAAGAGACTGAATTTTCTTACGTAAAGGGGTGTTTTTAGAGTAGTTATCCTCCTTCAGAACAGTTAGGATGGTAACTAGTCTCTAACATCTTCTGTGGTTTGTGAATAAGCTTTCTGAAGTCAGGTCTTTTGCCTGGTGTACTTACTATAACAATTACAGCTAATATATAGCAGTTGCTTTTCCATGTATACGCGATATATTTTTTAAATTAAGATCTGTTTTGGTCAGAAATTCCCTATCTAATCTGCTGGAAAGTTCCATTTTAAAATTTAGATTTATCAGAATTCAAAATATTTTTTGCTACTATTTTATGTACCATTTGTCTATGTTAAAAGACTATTGGATAAAATTTCTTATACTGTGAAGTATTGACTTGACCTACCTGTCAAGAAAAGCGTGTGCATGTTTGCACGCACGCACAATACTGTTTCTAAAGAGTGAAAATTAGGCTTCACACTAAACATGGGCTCACTCACCAAGGCAGAAAGCAGCCAACTAAGGCTACTTTTACACTAATCCGCCGCAAAAATGCATATGTGATTTTGCTGCATTTTTACCATGCTTTCTGACCGGTTTTTAAAGGACACGTGACCTAAAAACTGCGCCAAAAACTCTTCTCTGAAGCATTTTTTAGGTGTTTTTTCAGACTTTTGTCATTGATTTCAATGGTAAGAGGCGTTTTTTGGGGCCTTTTTTTTTAACTGAACAAACATGCTCCAAAGATGCTGCAAGCAGGAGTTTTTACACCAAAACAAAAGCGCAGCACCCCAGTGTGAAAATATACATAGACATATATTTTTCTTGAGCTTTTCAGGCACTTTTTGTAATGCAAAAATGCTTCAAAAACTCCTCAGTGTGAAAGTAGCCTAATATATATAATTCTATGATCTGGCGAAAATAAACTGAAATGTTTTTGCTGATAGTTACAGCACTTTGGATGTGATTTCCAATGTGATCCTGGCTCATTGAAAAAGCCTAATAGTGTAACGTTTAACAGAAAACCTTAAAAATTGCCCATATCCTTCACACCTTACTTCAGATTTCCACACTCCGTATGTAGTGTCACATTCTTTATGTATTAAAACCTCTTTTCATTAAGGTCTTTTAGTTAGGCTGTGAAATTTAGGGGGTCATAAATATGATTCTTGTAGTTACTGCTATACCCCAACTTTTACACATCTAGTACAGTAGTTCATGAACCACTTCTTATGTCACATTAGATTACTTTTATTGTTTTCTGCTATCCCATCTCACATTGCTGCATATGGTCTCCAAAGAGGCCTTTGGTTTGCATCACTTGCCTCCCAGCATGATTGTCCCATCAATCTATATACAGCACTTTGTACTCGTTTTTATTTTCTTTGCTGTGTTATTTTGCCATATATCTCCTCCAGTTGACCCATACATTATTGATCTCCAAGTAACAAGTGCACCATATTACTTCTACACCACTTCCTGTTATGACATATACTTTTTACATGTATATAGCATGTATTGTGACCCCAGTATACATCCTATTTTACTCTAACATATTTTCCATATAATGATAGTACCTAATAGTTGTATTCACTTTGTTCATCGGATTTATTTTGGTATAACTGTAATATTCTGTAAAGTCTTATGAAAATAATACAGCCAGTTTAACTCTCTATAGCACTTAATATAATTCAGTTTCATCCCCATGCTATAAATTTTGGCCTTATAATTATCAGTACCCTGTTGCATAATTCCTTCATTTTCAGCACATCATAGTTATTTCTCCATGTTTTTTGGTACAGTCTTGAAAGACGCAGCCTGGTTTTCATTTTAAAATAAATTGAGCAACATGAACTTTATCATGCTGATGCACATCTCATCCAGAAGTACTGAAAGGATCAGAAAAGGCAACCTTTATTGCCGCTGACATTTTTGGATAACCAATCATTATCCTCTTTGTTACTCTCTAATCTTACAGGCAATAAGCACAAGTATGTTGTTTTTAGATCCTTTTTCTATGTTGTGTTCAACCCAGTAAAATGAATATACTTTATACATGCATTTTACTGTGCACCTTCATATTTTTATTTTACTCAAATCTGTTTAGCAGCTTCTTTTTCACTGCACAATTTTCACAGCAAGCCCTCTAGATTGTTGTGGATTAACACTACCCCATACCCATTCACATATCATGGCATTCAGGCCTCCTTCCTGACAATCTAGCACTAAAAACGAGGGAATAGTTTTTAACTTTGCCTTAGAGCAGATGTTACAGCCTGCCGAGGCCACATCAAATGGCCCCTTCTTTTTAAATTCACTCCCTTGTATCTGCTTTTTCTTGCCATTGTTTTCATATGCAAGTTTCAAAATCTCTTTGATACTTTATCCTGTTTCCTGTGCCTAAAATTTTATGCTTCAGCATACTGATCTCTTACCTCCCTTGGCAGAATGAGAGTTCAAATATCCTAGAATTTTATTGAATTTACACAAATGCATAAAAAAGAATAAAAAAAAAACAAACAAAAAAAAACGAAAGAAAGAAAGGAAAAAAAAAAACACTACACTAGTGGAAATTGCAGAAAAAAATACTAAAGTATATATTGTCAGGTTACTTTTTTTTGTAATTCAACAGATTTTTCTTAAAAGTAAATTGTATTTATTTTAATATAATGAAGATCACTGTACAGACACATTAGCTTTCATAGTAAAAACAAAAAAATTCTCGATTTGAGATATAGATAGATATATATATATATATATATATATATATATCTATATATCTCTCAAATGCATGTACATTTTTTTTATTAATAATGGATGTCAGGAGTTTGGAGGATCGATTTTTAATTTTATTTTTTAATCTGTATTTGTGTTAGCACACTATCTACCTCAGTAAATTGTACATTAAGAAAGTGACCCCCTGCTGTGCTGGAAGACAGGGGTTATTGTTTAGGCACCTCAAGTTTTTCACAATAATTTTTTTCCTACCTGATGGGACTAAATTAAAATGTCTATAGCATCTTTTTTTTTTTCCCCCTATGAGCACTCCAGCAAGTAACGCCTTCTAAGATTTGGCTGTTTTAAGACTACAGCTCACTTTTGAATGGACATATTACACATTTGGATTATGGATATGTAGTTTCAATCTGTCTTTTTAAAAATGTATGTAAAATGATTTGGATTTGATTATAAACAGTATCTATTCTATTAAAAAATCTTTCAAAATAGGACAAGAATTTTTTTTGTTTAAGAAAGTTGTGTTTGACAAGGGCCTGAAGTCCAAAAAAACCGACTATTTTAGTGATGGATGTTAATGGCTGGGCTGAATAATCCCCTGACTTCAAAATAGGGGTCCAGTTTTGATATCTCCATCTTGGATTTCCAAGCTTTACCTCCTGCTATAGATTCTTACATCTTCTATAACAGCTTCCAAATGGAAAACAAACATACAACCTTAATAATGCCCGTGGCAGGTAGTCACTCAATTGCAGATAAAAGCAAACGGCTTTGTGATTATAAAAGTCATTTTTTGGGCAGTCTGACTTTTTAAATGTTTTTTCTCTATGCCTTATTTCACACATCCGATCAGATTATTTACAGAGATGCCTTTTTTTTTAGTGACCTATTTGGTTGTGTGTTTTGTACCTATGGGACTGCAAGAATGGAAATGGCAGGAGCTAAAGACAAAGGGTGATGGAAGAAACTGGATGCACCAATACAGCAGAGTGTTTAGTATGCGACTCCTGCCTTGTGGATGCAGAAAGATTTCATTTTTTGTTTAAAAAAAAAAAAGTATAGATTCACTGAGCATATAGATGACAGAGAGGGATTACAAAGGCGTTGCATCGCTGGGTGTCTTTTTTTTTTTTTTTTCCCTACAGATGTAATTAGTCTATCAGTGCGATCAACACGGAATTTCAATTAATTGTTTATTTTCTTCTTTAACAGCTTCATTGCCATTGTAGACTTC